TGAAGGTATAAATGTCTACAAATATTTTTGTACATTGCAGGACTTTTTAGAAAATATAATTACATAACTGGAAACCAAGAACCACCAATTATGCCGGTTATGTGAATATTTTCATTAATTACAAGCTAGAATAATCAGTGCATAGTTTGCATTTTGCAAAGCAGATAATTTCTAAGTCAGATCTCAGAATAAGGAAATTGATTCAAATCACTTAGGTGATAATATATTTTCAGTGTGAGATACAGATCATCCAAACAACGTTAAAATCAAAACAAAAAGAATTATCCTAATAAAAACCTGAAAGATACATCCATATTATAAGAAGAAATCATATTCTGGATCAGAACTAAAGTATATACTTATTCTTGTCAAGGAATAGGTACATAATATTTGAAGATTTTGTGTATTGTTTACAAATGTTAGTGCAATGTTGCTACCACTAACAAGACTTTTTTCATAAAATAAAATAAAAAAAACCCTAAGAAAGGGCAATTTGTTTTCTCATTCTTTAAAAGGAAGGAAAATAATCTTTTTCCATGGCTTAGGGATTTTCAACTGCTATAGTTAGATGAGATAGATACCACCTATAAAGTGAGTTTGGCCTTTTTCAAAATGTGTGAATTTCCTTCTTTTTTTTTTCTTTTTTCTTTTCAACTTTAATTCTAAATCAGAATACAAGCCATTCCATATTCCACTATCATAGCAGAATAGGTATGTAAGGTGTGAAGCACTGAGGTTATCACAACAAGCATACACAACATCAGTATTGAAAATAACGTGCCTGTATAATTATACCCATAGTTTAATAGTCTGTAATAGCAACAATGGTTTCCCTATAGGAGACAGCAAGGCTGCCAAAGTGCATTGTGTGGAAAAATAAAGGGGATCCTGGAGTAAATGATCTTCTGTAGTTGCCCAGAGAGAAGGAGAGGTGAAGAAGGCAGGCTGCTGCCACATCCCACCAGTGTCATAGCTGGCTCACCCTGCCTGCCTTAAGTAATCCAGGAGCTGCTACTTAATTTACAGTATTGCAGTTGCTTATACATATGGCCCTGTTCTTCCAATAAACCCTTGTGAGTATGTTCTACCTTCTGCTCCAGTTCCTATGCATAATGCTAGAAAGAGAGCTTTTTATGACTGTTTATAAAGTCAAGAAATCTGTTTCTACCTTTTCTCATATTGTCTGGTAAGATCCTATCTTTTCTTCTCCAATAAGATTTATGTTATTTTTCCTTTTTTACTAAGAAAGCAACCCACTCCTGTCTTAAAAATCACCAGGAACTTCAGGTTACTCTGAATGTCAGTGTACTTTCAACATACTTACAGGATACATTCCTCATATGTAGTTATGTGTGTATGCCACCTCGGTATTAGGTCTGCCATTCTAATTTAGCTAGATATATGGTGCCCATGACTTTAGAATTGGAGATTCAAGCTTGTGTGTATTTGAAACAAAGAGCAGGTCTATTATTTGCATAAAGTAGCACAAGATGTCTGTGAGAGAAAGGTTTAGCATTTCTCCTACCCCACAAATTCAGCAAAGGATCATTCTCAGGAGGTCTTAATACCTTTTTCTTTTGATTTCATTTATAGAACACCTAAATTATCATTTGCAAAAAAGACTGTTTACAATAAATAACTTCAAGACATTTGTACAAATGACTGCCTGGGCCCAAACTTAATTTGCAATCTGAAGAAAAGTTTTCAGTAAAAACTGTTCAGAGATAGGCTATCCACTGAAATAACGCTACTTTCCAAAATCATCATTTTTATCTTGTTCATTCCAATTGGAGTTTTGGAGAGCCAAAGGAAGAAGAAAATTTTAGGTAACTGGAGAGTATCCCTATGACTGTGTAACTCTACTCTCTGGATATGCTGCCTGTTTCTCCTTGCCTCTGCTAGGTAGAAGGAAGGACAAGAATTCTGCTTTAATCGAGTTCTACCCTCTGCTTAACACACTGAATCCTGTTACATCAGCAACAAGACACCTATGATTTCTTAATAAAATAATTAACCATTTGATTTCTTACTAGGCAGTGATCATAATGCACAAAGGAGGATCTTCAGTTTCTATAGAATACTACAAATGTATACATACACAACATCTGGCTCATGGATTTGTTGCAGCAAAGGTGAGGGTTTTTTTCTGTTTCTAGAGGAAAGACAGTATATTCCAGGAAAGAAATGTAGAAAGTCCAAATTCCAATCTTACTTAAACACATACATGGAAACATAGCACACAGAAAATGGAAAAAAATAAGTGACTGTGTTTTCTAATGATGTGTGATGGCGGGACACCCACCATTACCACACAAGGTAATGCTGATGAATACAGAGAGTTATTTTTCATAAATCCCATTTTGATAAAGACATTACAAGTTGATAAACACATTACAACTTCCCATATGTTCTGGAAAGTCTGAGGCAAACTGGTAATTCTTACTCCTATTTTTCAAATTCTTTTATTCTAACTAAAAATTATGTTTGGCAGAGAAATTTCAAATGTCTTAGAAATAATTTTTTCACTCCTTGTGGAGCTGGGTTTTATTGATCAAATTTGTTCTTAGCAATGGTTTACACAAGCATCATCATTTATTGATGCTGCCTGGACACATGTCGGAGTCTGTACTTCAGAAAGATACATAACTCCTTTCTTTCAATTAATTATGTTTTCATTAATACAGTAAAGCAATCAACTATCAATTTAGTTTTCTACTTTTAATTTGACATTTACAACATTTATTTCTCAGTTCCTGAACTAAAGTTTAATTCCTTTTTCAAAACAAAAAACCAGTCCCTTCCACCCCCCATTTATTCTGTATATTCCTCAATGTATGTCCAGGGCAATTCAAACTGTTTTTCAGCTCACAGAGAAAGCATAAGACAGGCACCTAAAGCGTGAATCTCTTCCTATAAAGCATTGATAAAAAGTCTTATCAAGACATCAATACAGAGGTAGTATAAAATTAGTAGTACCATGGGTAAATCTGTTTGTTCTGTTTAGTCAGATAATATTATAAAGATGGTATGAATTCCTACCGTACTACCCAAGCAGTTTACTAATTGGGAGGTTGTCCTTACATCCGCCAGGCTTTGCAGAGGTGGAAACTGAGTAACTCCCTCTGTATGCATTCATTCATTTTTAGCACATCAAAATCAGCCAAGTCTCTGTCTCTGTCTAGTTAAACATTAAATACTGAACTCCTACCTACACCACAAGTGATGAATTACATTTTTTAAACTTTTACTACAAATAGTAACATGCATCTGGTTCCAATGCTTTTTTCTTTCTCCTTTCTGTCAATCTGAGTCTGAAATACTGCTGCGCAGTGCAGCACCAACCATAGGGACAGAAGGGATCACCTGACGACTGAGGGAATATGTACTTTTCGAATCCATACATCGTATATTGCAAAAGATAATTGACAACCTCCTTCTGGTATAAATCAAATTCTTGAAGACTGTCTCTGCTTTCTTTGCATGAGAGTCAATCAAACAGAGTATATGGATGTTTACTGTGAGGTTAATCACTAGACAGTAATTACCTGTCTGTACTGACCAAATAAATCAATTCCATACAAAAGAAAAATTATGAAGAGATCTTGGATATTGAGCTTAAATAAATATGATTGATTACTTGAATGCTCTCAAAACAACATAAACAATATGATTTCCAGACTAATCTACTGGAAGCAAATTACAAACCATAATTCACTATAACTTCTGATAACGTGGAGAGCAAATGGGATACATCAAAATAGAAAACAAACTTTTCACCATAAAAGGAAACTGTTACAATTCAACCTAATGCCCAATGTAAGTGTTGTTACTAATTGTCAATGTGCAATATATTTATATATTAGATACTAAAAAGGAACAAGACTCTTTCTCTAAGACTTGTTTCTTGTTTTATTTGGTACTGTGAAGGTACAAGAACTTACATATGCAAACATCTTTGTCAACCGTATGAATCTAGTTCACTGCCAGTTTACCAGGAAAATCCTGTTTCTGCCTTCTTTTGGGGAATATACTGTGGAATTACACTGCAATACACAGATCATGAGGTACTCCTGTCTTCCAATGTCATCCTATAATTCTACCTTAGATGTATGTTCAGCTATATTCTTTGCATGTTTGTAAAACAGAGGTTAGAGGTCTGGTGAGGAACTGAAAATTTAATGGACCATTCTTCATACTGTTCTGCTGCTGTGGACATTACTATTATGGCATATATTTTGTTTTCGTCTATGGTGGATTTTACATATTAATATGGTAGTCTTAAATGCAGACTATATTAAATGCATCTTCTTCAATTGCTGTTTGCTAAATTATAGAGCTTATTTATGTTACATAATTAATCTGTGGAACTTGATACTTCAAAATATTTTTGAAGCCAACAATAAATGGATTAAAAAATAATCAGACTAATGGAAAATAGGTTAATTGGTAACCACGGCACATGACGATTGAGATCAGGAAGTTCTTGAACTATAAACTACAGAAAGCTGGGAGAGAATACCAGAGGAAGAATGTTACCGTGCTTCAGCCATGTGCTGTTCGAACACTACCCCTTACACACTATCACCCAGTTGCAATGGTCTCACTGGGCTAGAGCTACTGCTATTGGGTTGTAGCTGCAGCTATTCTTATGTCGCAAGGCATCTAACCACATGAAGTATGATAGACTTAATGATCTTATTTTCTGTTAGAGGTAGCGCTTGCTGAGGCTACCTGTTCCTTGCCCACATTTTCCATTCAAAAACAAGACTTACCCACAAGCTTTTGCAGTAGACCAAAACTCAGACTTGTTCAAAATGTTACACATACTACTGTGAAGTATTCAGGACAGCTTTGATGTATCAACCATTCATATCTAGGCACACAACAAAGTCTTGTGCAAAAGCGGTTTATGTACGTGTAATGACTCAAATACGCACAAATCAAATCACAATATTCAATGTTTCTTCTAAATATTAGAGATAGCAAGAGCCTGTAATTACCTGTAACTGTTAATTCCGTAGTTCTTCTGACAACAAAGAATCCATATTTTAACTCACAAGTGTAATTTCCAATGTCATCCTCTCTAACTTCACGAATGACGAGAGTGTCCTTTTTAAACACAATACTTGATCTCCACGTCTTTGACTTGCATTCCTGTTTAAAGATAATATAACACTTCAGTGACTATGTTCTTACACTTAAATTGGACCACTGTTGACAATGCTTCTCAAAGTCACAAAGGCTAGGCAAGAGCTCAGGCTAGTTATGAGCTTTACATACACTAAATATCTAAAAATCCAGTTCAGTTAAGTGTTGATTAAAAAGAAAAAAGACTATAGAATTTTATCAGCTGACTTAATATTTGCCCTCTGACAAGAAAAAGAAGAGGAGTTGATTCCTTTGGTGGTTTTCTTTTGATGTTAGTTTGCTGAGGGGCTCCTAATTCATTTACTTAGAATCATAGACTCATAGAATCATTAAGGTTGGAAGAGACCTCCAAGATCATCGAGTCCAACCGTCAACCCAACACCACCATGCCTACTAAACCATGTCCCTAAGCGCCTCATCTACCC